GGCCGATGCTCTATCCACTGAGCCAAACCGGTCAGGGGGAGGCTGCCTTCTTGTGAAGGGAAAGAAAGGGAGACAGAGGCCGAGGATAGAGAGTCAGAGAAGCAGTGGTCACAGGGGTTCGTCCCTCTAGGCATCCCCCGCTGTGTTAGCTACGTTTAAGGTTCAGGAGGAAGCCCTCCCTGCCGCTGAAGGAGAGTCAGCCCAGCTGCCACAGGGCCTGGCTAGTTCTCAGCAATAAACTGGCTCAGAGTGACTTGCGCGAGGTCACAGAGAAGCTGGAAGCTGCCTGCACATCAGCATTCTAGTAGGACACTGGGCATCGCAGTTTTAGCGAATGCTCTTGCAGTGGCCGGCTCCAGGCTGCCAGGTGGATTGTCTGCACCTGAAATGCTTGCTGATTCCAGCCACCTGGTGTCCCTGTCAGTGGATCCTTAGAGAAAGAAACCTGATTTTATAGCCTAAATTCAACTTCAGGGGATGAAAAGTCTGCTGCAAGAAAAACCTATAAAGCATTCTCAAATAAAGCAAGCCTCATCTAGAGAAAGGAGGTGGTTGGGGTAAGCAGTCTTTAAAGTTACCTTCCCACTTTTTAGGCATCTTGTCTGCAAGTCAGTTCTTCAAGAATTGTATGAAGTACCTACCGTATGCCAAGCACTGTATCAGGTGCTGGAGATACAGGGAAAAAGCCAAAGCTTATAAAAGCTCTGCCCTAGCGGAGATGCAGATGGGGGCGGTTATTAAACAAGATATACACCCTCTGCTGAAATCAGTTTGGTTTCTGTAAGAAGGGAGATGGAAAGCTGTTGGAAGGCTCTCAATCTATAATAATAAAAGGGTAATATGCTAATTAGGCCCCGGGCTGGAGGGAAGCCGGTGCCGGCAGCCGGGGAAAGGAAGGCCTACTCTTGCACGAATTTTCATGCATTGGGCGGGCCTCTAGTAAAATAATATGACTTGCCTTCCATGCCAATAGGATCTCACTGGCTGCTGTGTGGAGAATAGGCTGAAGGTAGGAAGGTCATAAGCAGGGCATTCGGTTAGGAGTTTTGTGATAATATAACCACAACAGGATGGTACTTGTGTGGTCACAGTGGTCACAGGAGACAACTAGAATGAGGAAAGAGAGGGCAGAATGTGGGAGGAGCAGTTTTGGTAGAAAGAGCACGAGTCAGTGGGAGTTTTCCATGCCTAGTGGGACCTGGAGTTGTCAGTTGGATACATCAGCCGGGAGTTCAGGGTAAAGGTCAGAGTTAGAGATGCAAATCTGGGCGGTATCAACAAATCTAGTGCTGGTATCTAAAGCCCTGGGCTTGGATGAGAAGGCCATAAGGGAGGGAGTGTGTGCAGATAGATTGGAGTCCCAGCCCTGGGTCCCGGGGCACATCAGCATTAAAGAGGGTCCAGAGAAGAGGAGGAACAGCTACAAAGTACTGTGAGTACTTGGACTTTCCTTCCCAAACTGGGCCATTTTTAAGAATATATATTTTGAGTGATTTCATGGAGGAAGGGAAAGGGAGAGAGAGATAGAAACATCAATGATGAGAGAGATTCATTGATTTGCTGACTCTTGCACTCCCCCCACCAGGGATTGAGCCTGCAACACAGGCATGTGCCCTGATCAGGAATTGAACCATTGAACTGTGACCTCTGGTTCAAGGTCAGCTCTCAACCACTAAGCTACACCAGCTGGGCAAAACTGGGTCATTATTGATGCATTGTTCCTTATCAGATAGTACTTTATCCTCTAAAGAGGTAAACCGTATTAAGGAACTTATTATTCTTGCCTATGTCCAATGTCCTTGGGTAATAATAATTGCTACCCTTCATCACACTATATGCCTGGCATTGTGCTAGCATTTCGTTATCTCATCTTATCTTCACAGTAGCCCGACCGGCGTGGCTCGGTTGTTAAGCGTCCACTTATGAACCAGGAGGTCATGGTTTGATTCCTGACCAGGGCACGTGCCAGGGTTGCAGGCTCAATCCCCAGTAGGGGGCGTGCAGGAGGCAGCCAATCAATGATTCTCTCTCATCATTGATGTTTCTGTCTCTCTCTCCCTCTCCCTTCCTCTCTGAAATCAATTAAAATATATTTTAAAACATAAATAATCTTCACAATAACCTTATGATAGACCCTTTTCCAGTTAAGGAAACCAAAGCCCACAAAGACGAAGTCATTTGCCCACAGCAGGAGAGTAGAGGGTGTGGGGGTAAACCCAGGTCTGTACTCGTCCAAGGCTCATGCTACTGAGTACTTTGCCCTTTTCATTAAGGAAATTATTGAGGGTTTTCAGAGGAAGCATCTGGAATTTTTTTTAATTACATGGGCCCATAGTATCTGTAAGGTTGTATTTACTGCCTAAGATCAAGAAGTATGAGCAATTTGAAAGGGCTGATTCAAAGCAGTGTCCTACTTGGAATGGGGAGTACGGGGTCCAGCAGATAGGGGGGCTCTCTTTCAGCCCCTACGTCTTTCTCAGAGAGAAAGACATCATTGCCTCAGTCTCCTTCGGGGTCATGGCTCAAATACTAAAATGAGAGACCGCAAGCAGGAGAGAGAGATGAGGGAAGACCACAGTGAGTTTTCCCAGCAGAGCAAGGAAACCAGCTGCCTGCCGGGAGCTGCGAAGCAATGAAGGCAGGAAGGACCCGGTGCGGAAGGTCCAGGGAAGGACGGGCTGTCACTGTTAGCTCCGAATACCCCACCTTAGCTGTCTTGCGTGTGTGTGAGCGGAAAACTGCTGAAGACACTCAAAGACTCATGAAAGGGTCAGCCCCTGTCACATAAGCAAGAGAGCGACAGGGCTGGGGACAGCCTGCAGTCAGGGCACTTCACAGCCGCAACCTCGGGTTCTGAACCGTCCACGCAAGCGATGGAAGAAAGAAACATGGGCAAGAACAAGAGGTTTGTGGAGATGACATGCTGGCTCCGTGAAAACCCTGGGCCTACACACCAGCGAGCGAAGGTTTCGAGGAACCCCAAGCCTGGAGGGCCACAGAGGCACAGGGGAGCCTGCAGGGTTGTTGGCGGCAAAGCCCAAAGTTTGCAGCAGCACCATACAAGGCAGCACAGCCGTCATGGGACTGAAATATATATTTTTGTTCCAAAAGACCAGGATTTGTTTCTTTTATATTTTAAAATATATTTTTATATTTTTAAAATATATTTTATTGATTTTTTACAGAGAGGAAGGGAGAGGCATAGAGAGTTAGAAACACCGATGAGAGAGAAACATTGATCAGCCGCCTCCTGCACACCTCCTACTTGGGGATGTGCCCGCAATCAAGGTACATGCCCTGGACCGGAATCGAACCTGGGACCCTTCAGTCCGCAGGCCGACGCTCTATCCACTGAGCCAAACCGATTGGGTCAGGATTTATTACTTGGTAATCCTATCAGCAAACAAGTAAAGGAAGGGGTTGTCCCAATATTTAAATATAATTCAATAAGTGGGTTAAATGAAGTTTTTTTTATTATTGATTGGTTTTTAGAGACAGAAACGTTGATTTGTTGCTCCACTTATTTATGCACTCTGGTTGATTCATTTTTTTTTTATTGTTTAAATAAATCTTTCGCTTTTTACATATGTCTCCTTTTTCCGGATTAACCCCCGCCCCCGCCACTCCCGCTCCCCAGGACGAGCCCCCACCGCCCCAGTGTCCATGTCCTTTGGTTGATCTCTTGAGTTATGTGCAAGGGTCTAAGAGCCTGTGCAAGCCATCTCTGGTGAAAGGCCACAGCTTCGTCATCACCATGTGATCACAGGCCAGTGTGTGGAGGGAGGTTACCGAGTGGCAGCCCTCTGGGACCACAAGAGGAGCGCAGCGCAGAGCACTGCACTGGGACCTTGAACAGCGAGCGGAATCGAAGGAGTGATTTCAGACTCTCCCTGCACCCAGAACTGTCGGGCGAATGGACTACCAGGCTGTAAAGTGATTTAATTGCTTCGGAGAACACATGAGCAGTATTGTTGTCAACCCCTAATTTTACATCTTTCAACTGTTCTCCAAAAATAAAGTTGTTTGGGGAAGCTTAATGTCTTCCTGTTTTTATTGCTTTGTATCTAGGAAAGTACAAATTCTGTAGCAGTTCCTGGCCCTGGCAAATCACCTGGGAAGCTTTTAAAAAGATGCTCTCCCAGGAGACCTATCCCAATCCAATTAGATCAGATTCTCTAGGGGTGGGGTCCAGGCATTAGTGTTTGTTTTTTAATTATTATTTATTGACTTGAGAGAGAGGAACATCGGTTCGTTGTTCTGCTTACGTATGCATTCATTGTTTGATTCTTGCATGCGCCCTGACCGGGGGCTGAACCGGCAACCTGCCCGGAGAGGGTAGAGAGGAAATCCGGAGATGCTCTGGCCAACGAGCCCCTCAGGGTCTGGCGCTCGTGTTTTGTTTCTGTTTTAAGCTCCCCAGGTCACCCTTGGTGCAGGCAGATTTGAGAATTACTGTTGTAGAGCCTCATAGTATAGTATTAAAACGTGGCTGAAAGGATGTTTTTCTTAGCAACAACTGATGTGCTTACATCCTTTACAACCCGCTAAAGACATTTATAACGCTCTCCACGCTCCAGGTCCTCCCACAGGCAGAGAAGAGACCAAGGCCAACGTGTCTTTCTCTCCCTGGACATAAGGCTCTAGCTGCGTAGGGCGGAGGCCGGGGGGACTGGGTCTCTGGTCCACTCGGGACTGGGACTTGGAGGAAGCGGGGGGCCGGGGGGTCTGGGTCTCTGGTCCACTCGGGACTGGGACTTGGAGGAAGTGGGGGGCCGGAGGGTCTGGGTCTCTGGTCCACTCGGGACTGGGACTCGGAGGAAGCGGGCGCGGGGGGCGGACAGGACGCAGGAGAAGGCGGGCGGGGCGGGGTGAGACAGCCCCACCCAGATCTCGCCCGGCCAGGGCCCTGCTGGCCCGGACGCCCCGCCCCCCGGCACCGCTGGCGGCCGCGCTCTGCGGACTACATTTCCCATCGTGCAGCCCGAGACGGGCAGGGTCGGGCCAAGAGGCTGGAGCCGGGCCTCCGCGGGGAGAGGCGGGCGAGGGCCGGCTTCCTGGGCCGGCGGCCGGGCGACGGGCGGTGGGCGGGGGCGGTGGTCCGCGCTGTGGCCATGTCGGTGTCCACAGGGTGTCGTGGCCCCGCGAACCTGCGCTCTCAGTCCCGGCCCGGCCCGATCCCGGTGCCCTCCCGGGGGTCCGGCAGAGGGCAGTGACCGGCGATCTGTGCGTCCGGGGGCCCCGGAGAAACCGGTAGGTCCGACTGCCAACCCACGTGGCCTGGGGGCGCCGGGAGACTGGCGAGCTGTCATCCGTGGAGGGAGGGGCTTGGAGACGGCAGGTCGGGGAAGGGGTCCTGCCGTCCGCGCTGCCTTTTGCGGTCGGAGGACAGGTTCTCCCCGGGGTCCTTTAGCCGGTTGGTCCCCAGCTGGGGGATACAAAAGGCGAGGCCTGGAGCCCCCCTTTGGCGGGGAGGGCGAAGTCCTGGAGCGGGCAGTGGCCAGGAAGGACCCGCCCCCCAATGCACACTTGCCGCCCGCGGAGTTCTCTCCAGGATCCGCAGAGGTGACTGGGCTGAGCGGGGCAGCCCCTGAACGTGCCTTGGGCCTTGGGACTTGCCCACCGGGGTGCTCTGACTCCGGCTGTTGGGCCGCCCCTCGTCCTGGGTGAGCCCCCTTTCTGGGCTCGAGTTCGCTAGGGCTGGGCGCGCAGCCTTTGTCAGGGAGGGGAGTGGCCAGCTCCAGCCCAGTTCTCAGTCCCGAGTCAGCATCCTGCGGAAGCGCCTCCGCTCAGCCTCACCTGGGCCCTGTCTGCGCCTCTCTCCCGGAGGCCACTCCCCAAAGGGTCAAGGCTGGATGGAACTCGCTCTAAGCAGGAAGAGGGAGCCGCTGGGAGGGGCTTTGGCCAGGCCCTCTCCCCTTCAGGGCGGGCGCCTGCGGGAGGGAGGTGCCTGCTGGCCTGGCTCCTGTCACAGCTGAGCACCTTTAGGCAAAGTAGCCCGGCGCCCGAGAAGCAGCTAGAGGGGGGCCCCAGGGAGCCCCTGGGACTGGTTCCAAGCGCCCGCTCTTGCTCAGCGCTTCAGGCTCAGCCTCGCAGGAGCCTCACTGTCCAGGTTAGGGACCCAGGGGCGGGCGGGGTGGGCTTTGCTCCCTGCCTAGTGTCCAGGGTAAGTGTCTGGAGCTGTTTGCTTCATCAGGGCTTCTGGCTGGGTCCCCAGATTGGCCGTGGAGATGCTGAGATGTTGCATGGTCTCAGGTGGCAGGGGGCGTCCACCAGCCCCGGCCAGCAGACCCTACCCCCACTCCATGTGGGTACTACTCAGACACCTGAAGCCACAAGGTGTCAGTGGGTAGTGGCCCCAGGGGCCATTGGGTAAGCTGCTGTAGACCACGTGGGTGTGTGAGCCCGAGATGCAAGGCCAAAGGGCAGGAACATGGGCCAAGGAGTTCCACTTGGGAGAGACTTCCAGGAGCAGCAGAGAGCGAATGAATGGTCTGTTCTTGCGCGTCCAGGGCCCAGGAGGAGCCAGGTAGCCTGGAGGAACGCCCAGCCCTAGCCCCATAGACCGCTCTTTGGGTCACTTCAGGCCAGAGCTCACTGGCTTCAGAAGGTCAGAAACAGGTTTTCCCAGGCCGGTTCCCTCTGGGCCTGGCTCGGGGGGAGCAAACTCTCAGAGTGTTTTCCAGGGCAGAGACCACGGGGGGATCCGTGTAAGTACAGCTGCACGTGGTCTGAATGCTAAGTAAGAACAGTCCTGATGTGCGAGTGGTGTACCGTGCCTACTCCGCGCCGGGGTAACCAGATTGCATGGATGATCTCATTTAATTCTCCACAACCCGATGAGTCTGTATTATCACTGTCCCCATTTTATAGATGAGGAAACCGAGACTGATAAAAGCAAACCAGGTCAACCCAGGTCCCTCTCCAGCGACGTTCCTGACACTCGATTCCTAGCGGGGACAAGTCTCCCTGCAGGCAAGGCCCCCAGAGAACACACTGCAAGTGCCTACATATCCGGAAAGAAAACTATTGCTCAACTTTGTTTTTCTACAAATATACTTTTATTGATTTCAGAGAGGGAGAGAGAGAAACATCAATGAGGAGAGAGAATCATTGATTGGCTGCCTCCTGCGCTCCCCACACTGGGGAGGGAGTCTGCAACCCGGGCATGTGCCCTGACTGGGAATTGAACCGACCTCCTGGTTCATAGGTCGATGCTCAACCCCTGAGCCACGCCGGCTGAGCTCAACTCCGTTTTGAATGGAGGAATGTTAGGATGTTCAGTGAAAGGTGTCAGGACAGAGAATTGTTTCAATCCCCAGCTCTCCTGCCTCCTTCCTGCGGTGACATGGGGCCAGGTACTTCCTCTCCCAGCCGAGTTCCTTCGTCTCTAGAGCTGGCCCGGGAGGAGCGCCCGCCTTGAGAGCAGTGATCGGGAATAGCTGACTTAATCCACGGCACCTTAGCACGCTGCCTAGGCATTCAATGAGCTTCACCTGCTGATATCAGTTTGTTAAAAAAGTTACATTTTATATACATTAAAAAAAAGACCAGAAGGAAATACACTAAAGTGTGAACAGTGGGAAATGTGTATGGTGGGAAAATGACATCTTTTCTTTATACTTTTTTGTCCTTTCCAAGTTTTCGACAATGAATAGATACCATGAATTCCTCCTTTTATGATCAGGAAAAGAACAACAAGAGAGAGAGAGAGAGAGAGAGAGAGAGAGAGAGAGAGACCACAACCTGGGCATGTGCTCTGGCCGGGAATCGAACCTGCGACCTTTCAGTGCACAGGCTGTTACTCAACCAACTGAGCCACATAGGTCAGGGCACCCAACTTCACTTTCCAGGGGGGAATCCTCAGAGCCCATCCCCAGAGGACTGAGTTAGCGGGTCCTGGGAGGGACACTTACTCGCTGTTAAGGAGGCCGGTGTTCCCTGCCAACAGCAGCCCCCCTCCCTCTGATGATGCCTTTCGTTTGCCCCACAGGAGGCCCGAGGGGATGGCCGCTGACATGCAGAGGAAGAGAAGCAGCGAGTGCCCCCACGGCACCTTGGCTCCTGCCGATGGGCAGAGTGTGGAGAGAGCCGAGAGCCCCACCCCGGGGCTGGCCCAGGGAATGGAGCCAGGTACGGGCAGGGTGTGCACAGCTGGCCGCTAGAGCCGCCTCCAGGCGGGCCCGATGCCCTCCACTCTCTCCCTCCCACGCAATCGCGTGTGTGCTCAGCTCACTGGGCGTTTGTCAGAGGCAGGGGGTCCTGCAGGGCTGCTTCCCGCCGTCCTCCGTGAGCACGTGGGCCACGCGCCCCGGGCTGTCTGCCGCCAGCTGGGCCCTCCTCCCTCCCGCGTCTGCAGTGAACCTGCGGGGCTCCGCTCCAGCGCTCGGTGTGAATGTGGCCTCCTCGCGAGGCAGGCCTACTCTGTACAGAACACTCGTTATTTTGTAATTTTATTTTTTATGTACGTATTGCCCATCTCGCTCTGAGCTCTGAGCGCAGAGCAGTTGTGTCCTCAATGCCTAGTATAGAGCTGAACTCATAATAGAGACCCAAAATATATCTGTTGAGTTATTCTCTCAAAAAAAAAAAAAATCAGAAATCAGAAGAGGAAGACTGACAAGGTCCCTGGGGCAGTCACAGGCTAGTGGCCCTTTCAGTGGCGTGGCCTCTCCCAGGGGGAGACTCACTGAGCACAGGAGGCATCCAGGGGCAGGGGGACCGGGCACACAGCAGTGAACAGCCAGCTCCGGCCCGCGGGGGGACCCCATCACAGTTCGGGAGGGGACAGTAACCAACAAGTGTCACAGGAGACACTCGGGAGGGAGGCACACAGGGCTGGGCTGGGAGGTCGGATGAGGAGGCAACGAGCATCTTTGCTGAGCGCTGACAGAGCCAGCCCTGCGAGGGGCCGGTGCCTTCTGGGCGGAGGGAAGAGCAGGTGCGGAAGCCCTGGGGTAGGTGGCGGTGTTGAGTGTGGCCGAGGAGCAGGTGGACAGAGGCCCGTGTGCCTGGGGTGACAAGGCTGTCAGATTCGAGTGAGAGAGGCGGGCAGACAGCAGCTGCCCCCAACCATGAGGGCTGCCCCCCGTGTGATTGGTGGAGGAGCCTGGTGGCCTGTGATCGCAGGCGGACAGTGAGTGGCAAAGGGAAGAGGGACTTGCTCATGGAGACAGGCAGTCACGCGAGGGCGTCTGGGAGACACCTTGCTGGTGAGGGGTCTGCCGGCGGCTGCTGCTCTAAGCACTGGTGCTCTTGGCTGGCAGGTGCCGGGCAGGAGGGTGCCATGTTCGTCCACGCCCGTTCCTACGAGGACCTGACTGAGCCGGAGAATGGGGCGGCTCCTGGGGAGAGCCCCGAGGAGGGTGCCGGGGGGCCACCCCCGCTGCCTGCGGACATGCGCCAGATCAGCCAGGACTTCAGTGAGCTGAGCACCCAGCTGACAGGCGTGGCCCGGGACCTGCAGGAGGAGATGCTGCCAGGAAGCTCCGAGGACTGGGCGGAACCCCCGGGGGCCTCCGCGAGACCGGCCACAGAGTCCCCCAGGGAGGGCGCGGGAGACGGGGACGAGGAGGAGGCCGCGGAGGCCTGGCGGCTGCACCAGAAGCATGTGTTCGTGCTGAGCGAGGCGGGGAAGCCCGTGTACTCCCGCTACGGGTCCGAGGAAGCCCTGTCCAGCACCATGGGGGTCATGGTGGCCCTGGTGTCCTTCCTGGAGGCCGACAAGAACGCCATTCGCTCCATCCACGCGGGTGAGCCACCTGAGGGGGCTGGGAGGGCTCCCCTGGCCATGGTCGCTTCCCAGCGGGTTTGGGACTCCCGGGGCAGGCCCTCCACTCACTGTCTCCAGGTGTTCATCTGACCAGCGAACAACCACCCTGACCGCCCACTAGGGCTGAACCACCCTGACCGCCCCCTAGGGCTGTTGAGGCCAAAGGTGGCTCTGATGTGGGCTTTGCCCTTGGAGAGGGTGGGACTTGAGACCACCCCCCCCCCCAGATCTTTTTGCCATTTAGCTCAGGAAGCGTGTTTTTCTGAAGTGCTTCCCGCTTTCAGCTGGTGCTAGTCGGTGAGGCAAGTTGCAAGGACAGGCCCGGCTCCCTCTGGGAAAGGGGCCGTGATTGGCTGTTTCTCTCACCATCCTGAAGCCCCTACTGTGTGCAGAGCTCAGAGGGAGGGTGGAGAGGATGTGGAAGGCGACAAGCTGCCAGGAGGCAGGGCTCTGAGGGAGTTGGGTGAGGCCAGTCCAGGAGGGCTTCCTGGAAGGGGCTGCAGCCGACATCCCCCCCTCCCCTCCACCCACAGATGGCTACAAGGTTGTGTTCGTGCGCCGGAGCCCCCTGGTGCTGGTGGCGGTGGCGCGCACGCGGCAGTCGGCGCAGGAGCTGACGCAGGAGCTGCTCTACATCTACTACCAGATCCTCAGCCTCCTCACGGGCGCGCAGCTGAGCCACATCTTCCAGCAGAAGCAGAACTACGACCTGCGGCGCCTGCTCTCGGGCTCGGAGCGCATCACCGACAACCTGCTGCAGCTCATGGCGCGGGACCCCAGCTTCCTGATGGGCGCGGCGCGCTGCCTGCCCCTGGCGGCGGCCGTGCGGGACGCGGTGAGCGCCAGCCTGCAGCAGGCCCGCGCGCGCAGCCTCGTCTTCTCCATCCTGCTCGCCCGCAACCAGCTCGTGGCGCTCGTGCGGCGCCGGGACCAGTTCCTGCACCCCATCGACCTGCACCTGCTCTTCAACCTCATCAGCTCCTCCTCGTCCTTCCGCGAGGGCGAGGCCTGGACGCCCGTGTGCCTGCCCAAGTTCAACGCGGCCGGCTTCTTCCACGCGCACATCTCCTACCTGGAGCCCGACGCCGACCTGTGCCTGCTGCTCGTGTCCACGGACCGCGAGGACTTCTTCGCCGTGTCCGACTGCCGCCGCCGCTTCCAGGAGCGCTTGCGGCGGCGCGGGGCCCACGTGGCGCTGCGGGAGGCGCTGCGCACGCCCTACTACAGCGTCGCCCAGGTGGGCATCCCCGACCTGCGCCACTTCCTCTACAAGTCCAAGAGCTCCGGACTCTTCACCAGGTGAGGGAGGCCCCGGGAGCCGGGCTGGGGAGCGGGCTCGTGGGGCCTCTGGGCACAGACCGACACCCTGGGTCTGTTTTACTCTGATACCTGGGCCCAGACTCCCTATCGCCCTCCTCTCCACGGGCACACCCCTCTCTACTCTATTACCCGGGCGGCCCGGAAACGCCCGATGCACCGGGAAGGAAGCCGGAACAGAAGCCTGGGGCCCCTTGTCCCGGAGGAACTGCCTTAGGGGTCATTGGTCCAGCCCAGGATGCGGGGCTCCTCCCCTCCTCCAGCAGAGGGGCTGAGGCCAGGCGGGGCACTGTCGCCCCTTCACCCTTTTGGGGTCCAGAGAGTTCCCAGCTCGCCTTCCCTCCACTTCAGACCTGTCCCTCCATCTTGGACACTTAAACTCCGACTGGCCTCTCTCAGGGACGGTCAGCAAAGATGCCATGAACGTGAGGGAGAACAGGCCTCTAGTCTGGGTGGGCCCAGCCCTTCCTGGGGCGTCTTCTGTGGCGGGGAGACAATGCCCTGTCCTGGGGGAGCATTCGGAGGGTAGGACACGTGGCGGCGTCCCCCTGCCAGGAGTAGGTGTTTCTAGATCTGCAGAGCAGGCAATGACAGTGGTGCCTTTGAAACCCACTCCCCCGCCTCCAGCCCTGAAATGGAGGCCCCGTACAGCAGTGAGGAGGAGCAGGAGCGGCTGCTGGGCCTCTACCAGTACCTGCACAGCCGAGCCCACAACGCGTCCCGCCCCCTCAAGACCATCTACTACACAGGCCCCAACGAGAACCTCCTGGCCAGGGTAAGGCGGCTGGGCCGGGCCGGGCTGCGGGGTCCTGGCAGGGACCGCAGGGCGTGTCTAACCCGGATGATCACCCTGTGCCCCTCCTTCAGGTGACAGGTGCCTTTGAGCTCTACATGTGCTACAGCCCCCTGGGCACCAAGGCGTCCGCCGTGGACGCCATCCATAAGCTGATGCGCTGGATCCGCAAGGAAGAAGACCGCCTCTTTATCCTGACGCCCCTCACCTACTGATGAGGATCCTGAGCCCGCTGGGCCGTGGGAGCACGGGAGCCATGGGAACTCCAGGCGGGGCTGGCCCCCTCTTGCCCAGGCAGCAGGCAGGGACTGTGGGTGCGTGCATTAAAGTGCTTTGGGGAAGACACGTGTCGGGCCTGGTCATTGGCTCCTTTGCTCACTCACTCTCGCTCACAGACACCGGGTCCTCCGCCCTAGCCCCTGCCCTCCTTCCCTCCCTCCTTCGACCAGCATCAGGCCGCACGAGCTCAGAGTGGGACCCTGGGCTTGAGCTGTTTGCATTCCGCCGAAGTCCCACCACACATAAAGGTTTCTCTAGCATCGCCCTGGCTTTGCCCCTCCCAGCCCTTCCCCCACACTCAGTCCGAGTCCCCTGTGCCTCCCCTCCTCCTGAGTGGGCCCCTAAGGACCACCTACCCACCTGGAAGCCCTGGCTGGGGCTCTGCGCCATGGGCTGCTGTCGCTGGGCAGGGGCAGGGCTGAATAAGATGGGGACGGTCAGCCCTGGCACAGCCGGGAGCCCCAGGACGCTGAGCAGGGAAGGCCCAGCCTCGGCCACTCTCCTGAGACCTCTCTGGGCAGAGCTCAGGGCCCAGTGCAGGAGCCCCTCCCTGCTGCCCAGGGGCCTCTCCTCGTTCTGCCACAACGTGACCACCTCACTGTCGGGGAGTGGAAGACAGGAAGTGTTTATCAGAGAACAGCGTCCACTGTATATGTCTTCAGACCAGCATGAGTCACGCTCACCAGTCTGAGAGCTGCGCCAAAATATCTGCACGGAAAGCAAGCCGTGTGGGGAGCGTGGCCATGTGGGTGGGCTGGGGCAAAGGCGCACCGGAAGGGTCCTACTTCACTGTCCCCGGAAACGGCAGCACAGCTCCTGCCCGTGGCCCTCCCTGCTCCCGGGAGGATGAGGATGGCAGCAGCCATCTGCCTAGATCCCCAAAGCCCTCGGGAGCAGCCACAGCCTCGCTTGCCCGGCGCACAGGCCCTGGGCTGCTTTTCTGCCTGTTCCCTGCTCTGTGCCCCTCGCTCCTGGCCAAGGCTGCAGACCACTGCCTCCAGGGCGGGTGAGGCCAGGCGAGTCCCCAGCTGCTCCCCGTGTTCCCGAGGCGCCCTTGTTGGCGGGACTTGGCTTCTCATACCTGTTCTGGTGGGAAGAGGGGTGGTCACAATGAGAGGAGTGTGTACCTAGGACAGCAGACACCTAGGAGTGGGGGGTTTAATGACGGTGGAGGGAGGGATGGCAGGCAAGCAGGGAAGGTGCTCCTGGTGGAGGAACCAGCCTGTGCAAAGGGAAGGACCCGGTGGGACTGGTTTACAGCGAAGCCGGGGAGTCTTCAAGGCCTAGGGCTCTCGACTCCAGGTAGAAGCCTGGCAGCGGGGAGCCACTGAGGGTGCTGCAGCCGAGGTGGTGGGGTTCTGCCGTGGTTAGAGCGGTCCCCCTGCTGCCTCTAAGGTGGTCCCTGGTCTGGAGGAAGAGGCGGGCGCTAGTTCTCTGGAGTGTTGTTCGAGGGGGCGGAATGGCCAGCGCTCCTTCGAGGTGGCAGCTGCCGCGAGCCAAACCGAGGCCAGGCTTTGTGAGTTCGCCTTGGGGGCGACTTGTGTGGGGCGCTGCAGGGCCCCTGAGCTGGCTTCCCCCAGGGCGTGCCTGCCTCGGCCTGTACAGCTGGGGAGGGGACAGGCGCTCCTGCGGACACCTGCTGCCGGGTGACCCAGCTGTGGGCGAGGAGACGCTGGCCTGGGGCAGCCAGCAGCGTGGCCACACGGTGGCAGCAGAGAGCCAACTGTTAACTGCTGCACTCCACCCCCGAAGGTCTGGAGGCGGATACAGGTCCCAGGAACCCGTGTCTCGCCCTGGCTGGCATGACTCAGTGGTGGCTGGCATGACTCAGTGGTGAGAGTGTCAGCCTGCACGCAAAAGGGTCGCGGGTTCGATTCCAGGTCAAGGGCTGGCCAGGGTCCTGTGCCAGAGGCAACCAGTCTGTGTGTCTCCATCCATGTTTCTCTCTCCCCCCTTCCCTCCCTCGTCTCTGCTCCAGGCGGAGAAAGTTTCATTCGGTTTTGCCCTGCCCCTGCCTGACTACCTTTAGACACGGTGCCTGCGGAACACGGGAGCCATGCGGTGATTTTCCAAGCTTGCGTACTCACTTCCGGCCGATTCAGGTTAGAGAAGGGAGTGCCTTTTACATTCCCCCAGGTACTGGGTTCCCCGGGCCCTGGGTGTGGCCACACAGGTGCTCCTTCCGCTCTCTGTCACCACGTGCTCAGCGTGGAGGCAGAGTCCAGCACTAGGAATGGGGGAGGGGGTCAGTTATCCAGAATGAACTCTGCCGGGGTGGGTGGAGCATAGCGTCTGTGAGACCCCAAAAATGGGACTGGCACTGCCTGGGCCAGGAAGGCTCCCTGGAGGAGGAGCAAGGAGGAGGGGCTGGGCGGGAGCAGAGATTACAGCTCCTCGGGGCGGGCGTAGAATTCTGCTGGGCTGCGGGCTCCTCTCTCGACCACTCCCCTCACTCTTCAAAGCCCTGGTGTTGGCAGCAGAGCAAGAACCACGGGCCAGGTGCCTAGCAAAGGACAGTTGTCGGGGACCCTCTCCCCCAGGTGCCTTTCCCTCCCTCGCACATTGCTGGCTTGGACCCCCTGACCTTTTCTCTCTGGAGATAGAACGTCTAGGCCTCAGTTGTATTTCAGCTCCAGGCCCCGATAAGCGACAAAACCAGCTGACGGGTGACATCAGGAACAGCTGCATTGACGAACCACCCCTGCGGGGAAAGGACTCCCGGGAAAGCTGCTGAATGATCATCCGTAGCATCTCCACCCTTAAAACCCTCAGGCCCAGGCCCCAGGCCCCTTGCCGTTCCCTTTCTCTTTCCCTTCCCTTCCTCCCTCCCCCTCCCTGCCCCGGGCACTTTACCATCAGCTCCCTCACTCCCAAGCTCCAAGGGCCCTTCCTTTACCGCAACTCCTCTCCTGAGCCCATTTCTTCTAGGAATTACTTTTCTCCCTCTGTGACTCCAAACAAATGTTCTCTTACGGTTTGGGTCTTGGCTCTGAATTCCTTCCTAGCCGGAACCCAAGACCGAGGTGGCTGCACCCGGGTTTGGTCCCACCCCATTGGCGAGATAGACCCAGGACTCACAGGTCCTCTGACCAAGGCCATCCTCCGAGTTTCCCCCACCCTCCAGGGTCCAGGCCCCCGAGGCTGAGGGGCTGCGAGGTGGAGGGTGTCCACCAGGGCCCCTCTTTAGTGTTAGGGGGGACTAGTGTCAATGTAAGAAATGTCCAAACCTATAGAGAATTTGTATGAGTTTATTTGAGCCAAACTGATGACAATTGCCAGGAAGTAAAATCTCAATGGATTGAGAAAATGCTCCAGTAAATGGCAGTTTTTCGGCTTATTTTATACATTGAGAATGTAAACGCAAGAAATGACCAAACCCTGTAAGAATTTTTGAGTTTATTTGAGCCAAACTGACAACAATTGCTGGGAACCAAAATCTCAATAGATGGAGAAAAAAAATCTCAATGGATTGAGAAAATGGCAGTTTTGCACTTTATTTTAAATATATTTTTGTTAATTTCAGAGAGGAAGGGGGAGGTAGAGAGATAGAAACATCAATGATGAATCATTGATTGGCTGCCTCCTGCACACCCCCTACCAGGGACCCAGCCCACAACCAGGGCATGTGCCCTTGACCAGAATGGAACCGGGGACCCTTCAGTCCGAGGGCAGACGCTCTATCCACTGAGCCAAACGAGCTAGGGCGCACTTTATTTTATACATTACAACTAAAGGAGGAGGCATAAGGAGGGTTACATGAAATTCATTGGTGACAGATTAGGGAGACGGGAGGAAGTAAAGTGGGGAAATCTCTGGAATGGATGAAGATACGATGAAGAGGCTAATCCTCCTTTTTCGTTGGTGGGTATAGGACAGTTAACAATGACCATGCACAGCACATAGGGAGGGGTCTGTAGTCTCGCTCTCCATGAGCTTGTGCCCTGAGGGGTCTGGAGAAAGGGATTACTCAGACCAAAGGTATATGCTTTTAGGTGCAAAAAGAAAACAGACTCAGTTAAGGTAAAGATTAACCTTCCTCAAATATCCCAGCCTAGGACAGGACGACCATCAGGACTCAGGGTCAGTTGGGAAGTTCTCATTTCAGACCATCCTTGTAGTTACTTTTGGCCTCTGAGTGTGTGAGGCCACCACGCAGGCCTCCCCTGAGCTTGTCAGGGTTAGTGTGTGGCCCCTTTCCCCACAAGAATCAAATGAGAAGTCGTAGGGAAGGTTACAGGAAATCCATTGGTGGCAGATTAAGGGGGAGGGAGAAAGCAGAGACACACACCTCTTTTGTTTTCTTTTTGGGATCCTCACCCAAGGATATGTTCTTACCGATTTATTTTTTTATTTTTTATTTTTTTTTAGAGAGAAAGGAAGGGAGAGAAACATCGATCAGTTGTTGAAACCCACAACCTAGTATGTGCCTTGATCTAGAACTGAACCCGAAACCTGCTGGTGTACAGGATGACGCTCCAACCAGCTGAGCCGCCCACCCGGGGCCAAACTTCTTTACGTGGATAGTTAATAATTAACGTGTACAGCACACAGAGCTGGTATTTGGGGAACCAGCTCACAGTGGGGTTCTGGGGTCTCGTGCTCTGTGCTGTGGCTGTGCCCTGAGGGGTCTCAGATGCACAGAGACAATAGACAGGACCACTTCCGGGAAGACTGACCTTTGTCAAGGCAGCTCCAGGCCTAGGCTGACTACCCACCATGACCCACCTCCAGTGGGAATTTTTATATTCAGACCATCTGTGCTTACTCTCAGTCTCTGAGTTTGTAGGGCCCACCCTGCTGGCTACCCCTGGGCTTGTCAGGCCAGTTAAGGGGGGACAAGGGGGGGGAGGGGGCTGAGGTCCAGGTGAGAGATGGCAAGAGCAGACCTAAGTTACCTCCGCTCCCCCCACCCCCCTTACATCCAGTCTGAAGAGAGAGCTCTGGGCTACCACTTAGTGAGACTACATCCTCATTAAAAATATATATATATTCATTTATTTCAGAGAGGAAGGGAGAGAGGGATAGAAACATCAATGATGAGAATTATTGATTAGCGTCTCCTGCAC